TAGTAAATGGCATATGGGAACCGCTCTCATTTTTTTCGAAAAGACTGAATCCGACACAAACAAGATATAGTACTTTCGGAAGAGAACTCCTAGCGATTTACTTGGCAATAAAACATTTCCGACATATGATTGAGGGTACCATTTTTACAGTATATACAGACCATAAACCCCTCACAAAAGCATTGAACGCCAAACAGGACAACTACTCGCCGAGGGAAATCCGACAATTAGAATTTATTTCCCAATTCACGTCCAACATACAGTATATCAAAGGTAATAGTAACGAAGTGGCAGACGCGTTATCCAGAACGATGGTCAACGCTCTCATCCAGTCTGAAATCGATTATCACAAGTTAGCAGCACTACAAAATATCGACGTCGAGTTAAACAGACTAAAGTCTGCCAATACAACCTCGTTAGTTCTCAAAGAAACTCCATTGGAAGAAGTAAGCATCACCTGCGATATTTCTACAGGTCAACCAAGACCATTTATTCCAAAGCCGCTAAGGCGAAACATTTTCGAAGCCATGCACAATATTTCGCATCCCGGAATAAAGGCCACCATCAAACTAATCAGCGAACGTTTCGTATGGCCAAGTATGAATCGGGATATTCGTAATTGGACTCAAGCGTGTATAAAATGCCAGAGAGTTAAGATACATCGCCACACCAGTTCCGCAGTAGGTCATTTCCGTCATCCCGATAACAGATTCGAGCACGTACATATCGATATTATAGGACCACTGCCGGTTTCGAATGGTTTCAGTTACATTTTCACTTGCATTGATAGATTCACACGATGGCCTGTAGCTGTGCCTATAAAAGATATTACAGCCGAAACTATCGCAAAAACCCTAGTAGAGCATTGGATTTCCCATTATGGTGTACCTACTAATATTACAACCGATAGAGGAGCTCAATTCGAGAGCCGCCTCTTCCAACAACTCACAGAACTACTCGGAATCAAACGAATTCGCACAACATCCTACCATCCGATGTCGAATGGTATGGTAGAGAGATTGCATCGGCAACTTAAAGCTTCTCTTACAGCTGTCATCAGCAATAATGATTGGGCCAGCAAGCTACCGTTAGTCATGTTGAGCTTAAGATCAACAATCAAACAAGATATAGAATGCTGCCCAGCAGAATTGGTTTATGGAACCACACTACGTCTGCCAGGAGAGTTTTTCACTGCAGATAAAAGCGTCCCAACTGATATAGCGGACTATGTACAGCGTCTTAAGCAGCATATGAGTAGTCTAAGGATAACGCTTCCAAGACAACATCAACGCCGTGTGTACATACCCAAACAACTAAGTGACAGTACACATGTGTTTATCAGAAGGGATAATGTCCAACGTCCCTTACAACCGGCCTACGATGGTCCATTTAAGGTGATTAAAAGAGACGACAAAACTATTACGGTAGACAAAGCTGGAAAAACGGATGTAATTAGCATCGACCGAGTCAAACCAGCTTTCATCGAAGCCTGCGATCAGCCAGTACATACAGATACTGCGAAAACCGTTGAATCATCTAAACGTCAGTTCCAATCATCAACGACATCGGCGAACACAAACAAAGAAAATCCAGTAACCACAAAGTCTGGTCGAAGAGTAAGATGGCCCCAACGTTATGTCGCTGCAATCTTCTATTAATAATTTTCTACTATTTTAAATATTAATTATAACTTCCACTTCATTGTATACACATGCATTACTAATTTCATGTTATACGCTATAAAACTCTTATGTACCCCTACACTTACACATATAATTTTTATTTAAAATGTAAAGCAATACCGCATTCCTTCTATTTATTGCTATTATTTTTTATAACCTCACGGACGGGCACAAACCAAATGTACAGCACACACTAACTTCATCTTAATTTTGTACAAACCATTTTGTTTCAAACGACTGTAACTACCCTGCTCAGTTTACTATTTTTTGTGCAAACACAGACATTTTTCCATATACCTTTGTTTGCAGGGGGGAGCTATTATAGCGACTCACGTGCAATCGAGTTTAGTTCAGTCAAGGTATTTTGTTGACCTATTTAATGGACAAAGTCATCCATGATATAACAACTTGTTGTACTATCTTTATTATTATGCTTGTATGAAATACATATGCTTGAACATTGTTTAGCGCCTACGCATGTATTCATTCGGCTAGCTTCATTATTAACTGCTTAATCTATTCGCTGACTCATCCATTTTCCTATACATATATATATGTGTACATTTGCACCCATTTACTACAACAACAACTACTACTACTACTACTACTTGCTACTGCTACAATCGTAGTTCGCTTGCTCATTCATTTTGCCTCTCTGCTGTCTGGTCCGAATTATCTACTAAATAAACTGTAGTAGCTGCTTCTTTTTGCCTTCTGATTTCAAACATCGTTGAAGATTATACGATAACGGTTCGAGGGTGATTAATTATCGAAGCACAGCCACTACATACCTACTTGAGCATTAAAGTCACCGGCCACTATTACTACATCCAAGCGCCTAGCTTTTCGGAGAAGGTCCGAAAGCTTTCTGTAAAACTCATCTTTTACATCATCTGAGCTGCAGTCTGTGGGAGAATAAGCAGAGACGACGAAGAGGCAACGACGAGTGTCCCTATCTTTCCGGATCCTTACTGTTCCGTTCAGTCGGACAGCGCACAAACGACTGTCTACTGGGATCCAGTCTAAGAGAGGTAGTTCTGCCCTAGAACTCAATGCTATACATACGCCGGCGAGGCCACGGGAAGCAGAATCAGGGCTTCCAGATACACGAAGCGTAAATCGAGTCGGTTCTTTATTTTGGCATGGTGAGGTCAAATGAATGACGCTACTTGGATCCTGTATGCGCGTTTCGGAGACGCAGCACACACCGATGGCGCGAGATTCTGATGTCCTAGCTAAGGAAGCCTGCTGTCCTATTTGGCAAAGTGTTCGTACGTTAAAAGCTCCTACGTGTAGTTTAGAGCGTGGTTTCAGGAGACCAGGAATAGCGTTCCACGTACTCGAATCGTTTGCCCTAGCGGTGCGAGGTGATAAAGAGGCGTGAGGAGGGTTAGTCGGGAGGATAAGAGAGGTATTAGGAGGTGTAGGAAGGATTTGAATGTGACCACCTTGGTCTCTTGTGCTGTTACGGGTATGAGGGCTGATGTCACTTCCCGGCTGCCCACACCGTGGAAGGGTATTTCTTGAGGAACCTGAAAAGGAAATTGGATTAGTGTTGGTCTTGACGACCTGGGAGCGTGACCGCAGAGCCCAAGGGACAACTGCTTGAGACCGGTCGCGCACGGCCTTTTTGTGGAAGGTTTTTGACGTGTTAGCTCCGTTCTTCAAGGGGCCTTACCGCCGGAGACGGAAATCCGTGAGGTAAGGTGAGGTGTGCATTTTTAGGGTCGACCTTTTCTAACCCCACCCCTCCTTGTGGGAAGGCAGCATCGCTGCAGATGCTGGTTGTCCGAGGGAAACACCTTACTGCTGTCACACCTCTCTACAGTCAGCAGTACGACTTCGCCCTCAGACCTTGAGTTGCTGCCTTTAGTTTTACCGTTCTCCAATCGACCTGCCTGGCATGGTAGAACCTACAGGAACATATGTTCCAGCCAATATAGCTCGGTTGGGTCATCACGATGAGCAAGCCCGACCACCGCGTCAAGGTAGCAGCTTCGGTCGGAAATATTTCAAATAGTTTATCATGTAAAATGCGTGAAGAGAAAGGCATCAGGTAGTCCCGCAAAATCAATTTACATCTAGACAATAAGGAACGTATCGAACTTGCTAACAGTATAACAGAAGCTATATCGCAGTGCAAAAGTTCGAAAGCAACCACTGGGGAACAGGTCTTTCCAGCTTGAATGACTTAGCTTAGTGTTTGGCAGCTTGCCATGTTTGGTAACTGCCTGAATCCACTGAAAACATAATGCAAGTAATTTACACACTTTTCTATATGGTTGCATACGATAATAATCATTCATAAATTGGTGAACTTATTTCCAAGAACCAGTTAGTGTTGTATGAGCACGTTTATTGTGCGATACATAACTGGTTTGAAAAAGTATTATCACTTTTTTCACTTAGCCTGAAAGAAAGTGGCAGAAACATAATAAATTTTTCATTTGGCACCATATTTTTGATTAGTACCTTTTACTATGTACCGACTACCCGAATAAGGTCTATTGAATCATGAGACCAAGTGGTCTGAGGCATGATTAAACACAGCTTAGAACCAAAGATAGTGCTGCAATGACTGTCTTGTGAAAAATTTCTTGAATATAACTCGCATAAATCTTTTTGAAATTAAATCATCATATTAGTCATACTTTTCGGAGAACCTAACAGTGATCGTTTCGTAGAGTATGTAACCAGATGAAATATAAAACGTTTAGTGCATTTATATAATATTTGAGTAAACACAAACAGCTAAAAAACCTGGTACTCATTAAAAGCAAGTTGTAACTACAACAACCAACATCCTGCTTATGATGATATGACTATGTATACCAGTTTTGGCACCTGAGTAGCATCCCAGCCCTCACATTAATTAAATGATTTATGTGGCACATATCTATTTGGTGCTTCCTTGTACCAATGTTTGTGTTTACATATATAAATAAATAAAACACAAAGTCAGAGAAGATGGAATGAAGTTTGACTGATAGCCAAAGAATATAATATGGGTAACTTTCAAGTTCGGATGCAAATACCACTTTGCCAACAGGCAGTTCAACTACGAAATGTAGTTTAAACAGCTGTTTTATCCGCATCACTATTCCGTACATAGAGACTATTTTTAGACAACTACTCACTATAGGAACAAAGTCATCAAAACTACGGACAGACACCACTGTAAACGCTTTTTAAATACCGACAATACGAGCTAAATATTAATATTATTAATCGTAATCAATCACTCGTATGTTTCTACAGTGATTTGAGTTGGTTTAAAAACCTTAACAAAAAGGTTTACATACAGAAAGAATTACTTACGACAGTCACTGGGCATAAATGAAAGACTGCGTACTGACATAGTATGTCCAAAGAATTGTTGTATTACGACACCTGTTTCAGCATCGATCAATCTAATAGACTGATCCCCGGAGGCTGTCAGAAAGCTTGATCCAGACGAAAGCCACTTAACGTCGAATACTGCGTTATTATGTGCTTCATAATCTAGTAATCAAAAACATCGCTTTATATGTGAATAACTGTGAAATTTAAATTCGTTTGATTTGGTTAAACATATGATTTAATGAGTGGAACTATTAACAACTTATGTCATGGATTAGCTTCAGCCAACCAACCTTTGAGAACTAAAGAGTACTGTACGATTGTCTATCATAACACGAAACTCCCTAGAACTGCATACCAACGATCTCTCCAGAGATCGAATGCAAGACCTTTAAGGTTCGTAGTGAGCGCATTATCTCTGGACCACAGAATTGAGACCCTGTGGTCCAAATTTCCAACTTAGGTCAATTTACGAGGCCTGAAGACCGACCCCTGACAAGGTAGTGAATATGCACTACACAAGAACTTCATACTAGGGTGAAACAGTTGTCCAATGTACAGGAAAGGAACGATCGATAAGACACCTGATATTTAGCCAGTGGTCATGAGTTTTAACTCTTTCTAACTAATCAGATTTTGATCAGCCATATGCTTTCGTCTTTAATGCTCATAATTGTGATCGAAGCTGCTACCTTGACGCGGTGGTCGGGCTTGCCTATCGTGATGACCCAACCGAGCTATATTGGCTGGAACATATGTTCCTGCAGGTTCTACCATGCCAGGCAGGTCGATTGGAGAACGGTAAGACTAAAGGCAGCAACTCAAGGTCTGAGGGCGAAGTCGTACTGCTGGCTGTAGAGAGGTGTGACAGCAGTAAGGTGTTTCCCTCGGACAACCAGCATCTGCAGCGATGCTGCCTTCCCACAAGGAGGGGTGGGGTTAGAAAAGGTCGACCCTAAAAATGCACACCTCACCTTACCTCACGGATTTCCGTCTCCGGCGGTAAGGCCCCTTGAAGAACGGAGCTAACACGTCAAAAACCTTCCACAAAAAGGCCGTGCGCGACCGGTCTCAAGCAGTTGTCCCTTGGCCTCTGCGGTCACGCTCCCAGGTCGTCAAGACCAACACTAATCCAATTTCCTTTTCAGGTTCCTCAAGAAATACCCTTCCACGGTGTGGGCAGCCGGGAAGTGACATCAGCCCTCATACCCGTAACAGCACAAGAGACCAAGGTGGTCACATTCAAATCCTTCCTACACCTCCTAATACCTCTCTTATCCTCCCGACTAACCCTCCTCACGTCTCTTTATCACCTCGCACCGCTAGGGCAAACGATTCGAGTACGTGGAACGCTATTCCTGGTCTCCTGAAACCACGCTCTAAACTACACGTAGGAGCTTTTAACGTACGAACACTTTGCCAAATAGGACAGCAGGCTTCCTTAGCTAGGACATCAGAATCTCGCGCCATCGGTGTGTGCTGCGTCTCCGAAACGCGCATACAGGATCCAAGTAGCGTCATTCATTTGACCTCACCATGCCAAAATAAAGAACCGACTCGATTTACGCTTCGTGTATCTGGAAGCCCTGATTCTGCTTCCCGTGGCCTCGCCGGCGTATGTATAGCATTGAGTTCTAGGGCAGAACTACCTCTCTTAGACTGGATCCCAGTAGACAGTCGTTTGTGCGCTGTCCGACTGAACGGAACAGTAAGGATCCGGAAAGATAGGGACACACGTCGTTGCCTCTTCGTCGTCTCTGCTTATTCTCCCACAGACTGCAGCTCAGATGATGTAAAAGATGAGTTTTACAGAAAGCTTTCGGACCTTCTCCGAAAAGCTAGGCGCTTGGATGTAGTAATAGTGGCCGGTGACTTTAATGCTCAAGTAGGTAAACTAAGCGATAAGGAAAGACACCTAGGTGGATCCTATGGTGTCGTGGCTCAAAGAACAGATAATGGCGACCGTCTGTTGCAGCTATGCTCAGATAACCGCCTGTTCCTTGCAAATACTAACTTTAAGCATAAGGATAAACATCTTTTAACATGGCGACCCCCTAATTCGTCCCAACGTTGGACCCAAATAGTTACATCGCTATCAGCCACCGATGGGGGGGGGGCTCGATAGAAGACTGTCGCTCATTCTGGAGCACATGCTTAGATACAGATCATGCTCTAGTGCGAGCGCGCGTTTGCTTGCGTCTTACTGGACGTAGGAAAGATCTTGCATGGAAACCTCTTAGGGCCCTACTTAATGATAGTCAAGCTAAGAGTATATTTCAGGAACAACTAGGAAAACAGTTAGACAGCCATGTATGTGATGCCCACCCCGATGCAGCATGGAATGATATCCGGAAAGCTGTGGAAACAGCAGTGATATCTGCTAGTAAGGTAAACCAGAAGGTTAGGGAGCAACACTGGATCTCAGCAGCATCTATCTCACTGATAAATGCTCGGAAACACATTCCACCTGGCTCTGAACATAATGAAGAGCGGAGTCAGCTTAAGCGCAAGCTGATAAGAAGTCTACGCAATGATTTTGAACAGTGGTGGGTAGCGAAAGCAAGAGAGATGGAAAAGGCAGCGGCAATAGGTAATAGCAGACAATTGTTTAGACTCGTTAAGGAAACCGGAATTAGGAACCCGACCGTTAGCGAAACAATCTCAGAAAGATGGACATATTATTCATTCTCAATCCAGGAGATTGGATCGATGGGCAGAACACTTTAGGGATCAGTTCAACTGGCCTTCAGCCACATTTCGGTTTCTAACGACCTCCAGTCAACCTGAATGGCATGTTAATGTAGGTCCTCCGTCCCTTTACGAAGTTGAAAAAGCCATAGGAAATCTGAAACGAGGGAGAGCAGCAGGCCCTGACAGGTTTATTCCTGAGATTTTTAAGGATGGTGGTCCAGTATTAGCAATGAGATTAACCGAGGTCTTAGGTAGAATTTGGGAACTGGACGTAATCCCATCTGACTGGTCTCAATCACTGATTGTGCCAGTTTTTAAGAAAGGACAAAAGTCCTCTTGTGACAATCACAGAGGAATCAGTTTGACTAATATAGTGTCTAAAATATTAGCCTCAATCATACTTCGACGCCTAACTAAAGCTCGTGAAGAGCAGACTAGAGATCAGATATTCACACTACGTCAGGTTCTAGAACACAGACACAAATTCAGACGCCCCACAATGGTAGTATTTCTCGACCTTAAGGCGGCATTCGACTCTATTGATCGTGAGGTTCTATGGCAGTGTTTGTCACTGAAAGGAGTACCAAAGAAGTACATTAACCTTATAAAGGCTCTCTACTCGAACACAACTGGTAGAGTGAGAGCTTATGGCGAACTGTCATCAGAATTGATTACCTCAAGTGGTGTTCGTCAGGGCTGTCCACTCTTTCCATTCTTGTTCAACTTTGTCGTTGACGTACTTTTAGAGATAACACCTTCCTCGTCTAGATTTCCAGGGGTTGAACTTCTACCGGGAGGTTCACTTGTTGACTTAGAATATGCTGATGACATAGTTTTATTTGGTGAAGACGCTGACAAAATGCAGAGTCTTCTGACCACTCTAAGCAACAATGGAAGCATGTTCGGGATGCGATTCTCTCCCTCGAAATGCAAAATGTTGCTTCAGGATTGGGTTACATCGACACCCGAACTAGTGATAGGGAGTGAAGTAGTTGAGTGTGTCGACTGCTTCACTTATCTTGGAAGTCTCATCAGCCCTTGTGGTTTAGTGTGTGACGAAATCTCAGCACGGATACAGAAGGCTCGACTAGCTTTTGCCAACTTGCGTCATTTATGGCGTAGGCGAGATATCCGTCTATCAACCAAAGGACGGGTTTACTGCGCAGCAGTTCGTTCCGTCCTACTTTATGGCAGTGAAACATGGCCGGTAAGAGTAGAGGATATCCGTAGGCTACTAGTATTTGATCATAGGTGTCTTCGAAGCATTGCTCGTATATCCTGGGACCATCGAGTAAGTAACACAGTTGTTAGGAAACGGGTACTAGGCGAGGATGGCAAATCAATTGATGAAGTAGTGAAACTTCATCAGTTGAGATGGCTGGGACACGTGTTACGTATGCCCAACGACCGACTGCCTCGACGTGCTATGTTCAGTGGTATAGGAGTGGGTTGGAAGAAAGCTAGGGGCGGCCAAACCAAAACATGGCACAAGTCCATGAAGTCACTGACAAGTGGACTGAGTCATGTTGGTAGGTGTAGACTACCTGGTTGGGGACCACGAGATGATAGCAACCGATGGTTAGAGACCCTGAATGACATGGCTCAAAATCGTTTGCAATGGCGCAGGTGCATCCACTCTCTGTGTTCTCCCAAATTCTAATCTTCTGAATTCTTCATGTCCCTTTTTTCCTCTTTCCAAATTTTTTTCACTGTATTATACTCTTTAAATAACATCTCCAAACCCTAATCTTCCCGATTACTGCTTATACTCTTATTACCTCTTCCACTACGGGATTTGAATCGACCATTGCATCTCTGTGCTAATGTGGTGTGGCAACTCGAACTGATGTACGTACGTACGAAGTTCTACGTTGTTACTGACTGACTGAAAGCTGCATTTGCTCTTTATGCTTTACAAAAGCGAGTTACACTACCAACTCTTCGACAGCACTCGTTTTGTTGGGATAACATTGGGTTTTTCATTGAAATAGATGTTTTGTAAAAACCCTATTCTTTTCTATTCATATATTTAATCTCACCAAGCAGGTGTGAACTGTGATCTGAACAGATACACACTCAGAAAAGTTACTACTTTCTTTTTAGACAACTGAATGCAGTGTACATATTTACTGATGAATCACGTTCAAGAGTTAAATAGTGGTCTCAACTTTTCTCTAGCTTGAGTTGTAGTCCGTTGGTATGACGAGAAGACGCAGAGAAATATCATACTAAGTTTTTTGACTTTACCTTGTAATTTAGATATGCTAGTGATTGTGCCTTGAATATACATTAATGAACTATCATAAAAGTTTTTGAAATTTGATACTATAGTTTATGGACTAACGTGAGGTTAGAATTCCTTGCACCTATCTGTTGATCCCGACACGTGATTTTCACTTTAGAAAAGCTGCAACTATTAGTTGTTGCTAAATTAACGAAAGCTGGCAGTGTATTACATTCACGTATACTAAATTTACTTAATCCAACTAGGCACCCGTTTTTTCTACAGGGAAATGAGCCATACTGTTGTGAGGGGTCAGGTAACTAACTTGATAGGTACAGATTCGTCTGGTCCATCTTGACCTACACTTTGTGAGGAATCTTGATGAAATCCAGGCGGCTGAATTGAAGTAGATGGAGGGGAGTTTGATACTCCGAACCATTAGTCAAGAGCCAATTTAACCGATTGTCCTATTACTAGAACTCATAATCTAAAGGATGAAGAGCGAACACATCCACTCCAATGTGAACGATTTTTGGTTAATCAGACTTTAAGATAAGTATATTACAACTAAGCTTCTGATGATTTACTGAGTACGGTTTGAATTTTAACCATAGAGCCATGACTACATTTAATACTAACAAGGAGAGTAATGCTGTTTTATCTGTGGAACACGGGAGCGTCAGGGGAAAAAACAGCACGTAGAATGATATTTTAATTAAGGACTTACGTTTGAGAAAGGCTTGAGTACCAGTAACAGAAGTATCATACAGGTGAACTAAGCCATCCTCCTGAGCGATTAAAATGAGATCGGTAAGAGCTAAAATCGGTTAGTTTAAGATGTTTCATACTTGGGGAAAAGTCACAAGCGAACGGTGGGGAATTCTAGGCATATGAACTTCTGAATTTTAGTCTTACCGGAGCTAAAACTGAATGAAGATGGTACGCTTGGTTTCTTCGACATTCAAAATTCTCCACACCAATTATAGGCAATGTTTTTTCTGTAATCTTGTGTGAAACTTTAAATAGAGTTTACGTTTTTCTGCCGTGAAGCGAAAGAACTCTCTTTGATTGACAGATGAGAATACACTCGGGGACATAAAAACTGAGGCCTTAATATAATAACTAAAAGCAGCGCGGAGACCCAAAGGTTGTACTAACGACCGCTTTAAACATCCGGCCTGTGAAATTTGGTACTATGTGAAAAGACAAAGGATTTCGGTCTTTATTAGTAAGGTTATGAGGTCGATCAACTTATCTTAATCCTTGAAATCTGTAATACTGTGAAGATCCAATCTCACTCTGAATGTGCCAACAAAAGTTGCTGATATTATGTGCCCTGGTAGCGGGTTCTAGTAATTAACCACTTAGTGTGAGAAAAAGAAATACAGACGTAAGTGATTTGGTTCTGGTCTTGGATTTTCTCACTATTTCCTCTTAAATAATCAGTCCCATATGAAATGAAAAGATAAGACGTTAATACCGAGACCATCGTTCAGTATACAGTAAGCCAGTACTAGATCACATCGTACCCACAGTGAGATAATGTAAATCGGTTGATGCGTTTCAGTCTGTTTTCATTATGCAGGCCAGAGAGATCTTTCACCATTTTGATCCCTCTCCGTTAAAGTCATTTAGAGATTGCGCTTCATAATTGAATTGAGGACTCGCTGCTTGAGTCCCGTATTACGAATACGTCTTATTCCAGGTGATGAAATAGCATGAGAATAGTCGATAAGACATTAAGTTATATAGCCTTTTAATTACTCATAGTTCTAAGACGTCACTCATTATGACTCCTAGATCTTCATAGTCATTAGCTTTGTACAGTTTAAATTCACCTGTTGTGTGATGATATGAATCATCGCAATCACTTTTTCACATCACACTCGTCATCTTGTTAGAGTTAAACTCTAATGATCACTTGCAAATTAATTCAATCAGTGAATTTCGGTCATCCTATAATATTATTCTGACTTACTGTGTATGGTTTGTAACAGCTTAGGTTGATTGGTTAAGAATTGACCTCAAACAACTAAGTATATGTTAAACAGTAGATTTCATTCACTTCCTTATTTTGTATAGGCGTTATATTCCCTATTATCCTATATTGAATGTTGAGAGGCTTTGTTTGTCTAGACAGGTAATCCCACGCCCCAGTGTGACCGCGAAGATCTAAATAAAGACCTACTCACCAGTAGTCTGTTTCTTCTGTCAATAGCACGAGGGTTACCTAAAGACACGAAACTGGTGAGCTCTGTAAAACATAAATTTGATCGTAGTGACCCTGAGTTGTGGTTTACTCAACTAGAGCATTATTTCACGAGACACAATATCAAATCTTAAAGAATTCTCTATAGAGACTCATGTTCTATCACTCCTCCTTCAGTCGCCAAAGAAGTCCGTGACTTGATTTTAAGACCAACATCACCACAACCATAAGTACGAGAGATAATGAACCGTTTATCATTAACAGACTGTCAAAAAATCCAAAGGCTTTTCCAAGGAGAAACATTAGGTGATCGGTCCCTGTCGCAGTTTTTACATCACCTCTAGGTCTTAGTGGGTGGTCACACATTGGGTCCAGCAGTCCTAAAACAAGGATGGATACAAGCTCTTCCATGCTACGTCCAACACTGTCTGGATGCACAAGATCCTGAAACCTCCTTCTCTCACTCAGCACTTATAGCTGATAGAATAATAGAAAGAGATCTTCAAACGGGGTCACGCACGATAAACCACACACAGGAAGAAGAACCAGCAAAAGACTCAGTCATAGAAGGACTAATTGCGGGTCTCCACAACGGCCAAGACCCAAGTCACAAAACAGGTCACAAATGTCCAGACAATCTGGACAGTTCTGTTGGTATCACTGGAAGTTTGATGTCAACCCAACTAAGTGCATGCAGCCATGTGCTTGGCCTAAACAAAATCCCAAGAATCCGGAAAATGAGTAACCCCTCCCCAGATCATTTTCAGAAGGTAAAACAGATGACTTAGCTACATTTGATAAGTCGCTATCAGAAAACAATGAAAAAGAAAAAAACCGAAGGACCGTACCTTAGGGAGTTCACATTCTACTAATCTCTGCGTTGAGAAAGCCCCATTTGTCTACACCCCATATCGCTTATCACTGAAAAAATCACTCATCAAGTTAATGACTTGATAATGAACTTCATAATATACCAGTTTCAATCTAAAACTAAGATGATAAGTCTGATCAAAATAATATATCGTGTTTCCGAAAACTCTATCACCATTCAAAACATATCATGTGGTGGATTGTGAAGCTACTTTAAAAAACTTTAAAAGTTACCGAGTAGTTGTGTACTATGCCGTTCACCGTTGTGAAATTATGTTAACCCGGATTTCGAGCATTATTTATTAGAGTTACCACACGATATAAACTCAGTGCAAAGGAGTATCAGTGACACTCTTCAATCTCTATATCACTTGTTTATAATCAGGCTTTTATTTAGGTTTCTTTCAAAACACTTCACTTTTTAAATTAAAAGGTCTACAGCATTTCTCATCATTGACAAGGTACTAATAAATAAAATATTAAGCTCACTTTAGAATGCTTTTTTGAATTATTATTTATTACTGACTTCAAATTGTTCGAATGGTGGTGATGGAGTAGACGAAGCTTTCACTTAACGGACCTCTGTATCTAGCAGCAGTTGGTTACCGATGCCTGAAAGTTGGAACCTAGGCACATTCAACGAGCTGGAGAGAAAAGTTGTTGGATAATACAGAAATACTGTCGTAAGTTCTTTGGAGTATCCCAAGTTTTCTCTGGAGGGAATCCCGCGTTAGGACCGAGATTAAGTAAGTATTAAAGTGGGTGCTCAAGAGTATTTAGGGTGCAACATGTCATTAGCAGTTCACCTCTAAGGCATCTGTATAATGACTGGTAAGGATCCGATGATTTGAGGCTTTCTTCGTAAGGTTGGAATTGGAGTCCTCAAACTAGTTTTGTGACTTCCCTTTAGATACGTTTCTGTATATTTTTATCTTTATGAATTGTGTCAAGGAACACTATATTTCCATAACCTAAATGGAACCGGATCAAATTGCCAATGATCAAGGGGAAACTTCTACCGTCAAAATTGTCAAAAGCACACTTCGTTATCAGTGTAAGGTTCGGTAGAAAGGCGATTTTGTCGCAGTAAGCATAAGGCTTCATATTATAGTTATCAGGACTCCTAGAAATGTTTTCAACTTCACACAACTTTCAAAGATCATTACCTGAGTTATTTGCATAGTTCGTAACATGTTTCAAATGAACTGCTTTGCTATTTGAAGCGGTGACATCAAATTCATTGTTACCCGCCCAACTTTTAAGTCAATCCTGGTCCTATTAAAGTGCAAACTTATCGTCCTAGTTGTGGAATTCCCTGCAAAATTAAACGTCAGCAAAAATCAATAATTTCAACGATACTCGATGATGTCATTAAGGTAGATTAAAGAGAGGAGTGGTCCTAGAAGTAAACCCTGTGGAAATCCATTTGGATATTCCATGGCCAAAAAACTGTAACGTACGCCGTGATTACAAAAAGAAAATTATTTAGTCATGTGGTCAACCAGCGTAAAAATGGTGACTTAATACATAACAGTTTCAGCCTAATGATGAGACATATATGGCTGAACCCACTAAACGTTTTTTCGAAGTTATGGTATATCAAATGTACCTTCCCTTTGCAATGACTAACGGTGGCTCATCTGTCCAATGTATTTAGTAGATCGGCTGTACAACTGTGACCCTTACTGAAGCTGTGCTTTTGAGGTGAAAAGTTTATGAATAACAAGCAGTCGGATGAGTCTTGGTAAACCAAGGACGCCATGACTTTCGAAACATCTCGAAAAAAATTCAGCTGGTTACTTTCTGGAAGGTGTGCTGAGTCAACTACCTTCGACAATTGTTGTGATTGTGTACCAGCTTCAAATTTTCTGGGAACTAACCTTACGTTAGCGAATGTTTGTTGCTTGTAGTTATCCCTCGGTTGTCTAATGTAAGGGTCAGATTTTTTATTGAAATATATCTTTATTCAGATCGTGGTGCGCGAGACTTTCTTTTTCAAACACAAAGTTTTCAACATTCAATAGAGGGTAATAGGAAATATGATGATCCCAACTCAAGGTAAGTAAGTGGATAAACAAGTGAGCAGTACTCTTTTGTCATCACCAGTTAACTCTTAACAACACAAGTTAGGATGTTACCCTAGCTTTCTGAAAGAATCGACGTTCAATGGATTGTCGATCCGACCATTTTGGCAAAGAAAAACATGGTAATGCCGTTCCTAAAGCCAAATGGTGAATTACTAACTCAGTCAGTGCTTGACCCTCTCATTTGCTCAACGAACATTCGGAGATAGTCTATTGATATATTATGCTTCTCTAGCTTACTATCGCGGTAGCATTTACTTTTCCGTAAGTCTTAGCACATGAAATGTTTCACGTGCTCTTTACATGGGAATCAGTGCTAGTAAGAGAATGGAAGGTAAGATAATGAAAACAGAAAATGCTGAGGGAGGGCTACGCAACACCAGGTTGGTGAGGTATGATTTTCCATTGCTCTTTCTGCCACTAGGTTTTTACTCACCTCTTCTCTAGCCATTCTAAAGTCAAAAATAAGGAGCTTATTTTTTTAAAGAAATTGATAGTCAGCCAAATTCGAAGAATTGCCCTACCTTTTGTATGAAAGAATCATATACCCAAACCTAGGTGGCTTCTGGGGTTTGGATTTACCACTGAAATATAAGTAACACGATATCAGAAACTGTCTTCAAAAATTGTAGATTCATGGGGGAAACAAAGTGGTTATAACTTTTAAGATCAATGAGTATCAGCGATTATGGCGACAAAGCTGAATTTACATCAAATATAACCTGGTTTTACATTTCTTAGCATCTTAAATGTTTTATCAACACATGCGAAAAAAATATAGACCTACGGGTTGGTTGAGAACGAAAATAGATGTAATCATGATAATCAAAACAAAAAAGATAACTGATACACTAAAGTATTCTAAAATACCATGATGAAATGCACAGTAATAATCAGTGGTTATCCATTTAACGTATGAATTGTACAAGTTTCTCGTGCGCATATCAATAATAAAAAATAAGAAGCCACTTGCGTGGT